AAACCCTAAACCCTAAACCCTGAACCCTAAACCCTAAACCCTAAACCCTAAACCCGCGCCTGTCGGAAGGTTGCGGCTTGATTGATTCACTGTCTGGTCTACGGTTCACATTTCAGGGCAGGGCATGTCCCTGCATGGCATCTGCAACCATACCCACAACAAGCCCAGGCCTCACTGGACGACACCAAAAAGGTTTCAGGGTTTTGGTTAATTTCAGGGGGCTCTCAGCCCATACACCCCAAAGCCTAACCCTCAACCCTAAACTCTGAACCCTGAACCCTGAATCCTGAACCCTAAACCCTAAACCCTAACCCTGAACCTCCAAAGTCCTAAACCCCAAGCCCGCGCCACTGTAGGCGTGGACTCCACGCATTCCATCATCACCTCTCGGCAGCGCGTGGAGGCTGTAAGACGCCCTTGAGACCGCTTTTGGGATTCAGTAAATTACAGGTAGGTTTAGGGTTTAGGGTTTAGGGTTTGGGTTTAGGGTTTAGGGTTTAGGGTTTAGGGTTTAGGGTTTAGGGTTTAGGGTTTAGGGTTTAGGGTTTAGGGTTTAGGGTTTAGGGTTTAGGGTTTAGGGTTTAGGGTTTAGGGTTTAGGGTAGGGTCAATTAGGGTTCAGGGTTCAGGGTTCAGGGTTTAGGGTTTAGGGTTTAGGGTTTAGGGTTCAGAGTTTAGGGTTTAGGGTTTAGGGTTTAGGGTAAGTAGGCCCCCCGCGCCCCCTCCCCGCATCCCCTTGCTGTACAAACTAAAGTTCGTCAAATTTTACCCGAAATACCAAGACTTAGAACCCAATCTAGATCTGTCATAAGCCTATTTTTTTATAACTACTTGTAGGGCTTGATAGGTCCCCTCCGCCCCCCGTTTTGCCTTATAACCACTTATAAGCCCGAGAACCCGGGACCCAGGTCTCCTAGAGCCTTAGTTAGTTGGTAGGGTTTAGGGCTTAGGGTTTAGGGAGTAGAGTCTGCACCAGGACGGGCGGTTTGGCCTCATAATCGCCCTAAACCCTACCCCCTATGGGCTTTGCCAGGGTGTGTAAGGTATGGCAACCCATCCTGGTGGGGTTGAGGTGGAATTTTGGGGTTCAGGTTTGGTTTTTTTTGGATTTCTAGGGCTTACATAGGTTTGGGGTTTAGGCTTGCGGTTTAGGGTTTAGGGTTTAGGGTTTAGGGTTTAGGGTTTAGGGTTTAGGGTTTAGGGTTTAGGGTTTAGGGTTTAGGGTTTAGGGTTTAGGGTTTAGGGTTTAGGGTTTAGGGTTTAGGGTTTAGGGTTTAGGGCGGGAGCCCCAAAAATGCATGGAACTACGCAGCCCGGGCATGGCAAGGCAACCGTTACCGCGGAGATCTCGACGATGCGCCTGGACATGGGCGACATGCAGGACACTTGGGGACTGGGTGGTTAGGGTTGAGGGTTTAGGGTTTAGGGTTTAGGGTTTAAGGTTTAGGGTTTAGGGTTTAGGGTTTAGGGTTTAGGGTTTAGGTAAAGAAGATCCCTAAAAGTCCATGTACCCAAATAAGGGATACCTGGGGCCTTAAGGTACTTCCTATATAAACCCGAAACCCAGCCAGCGCCAGGAAGCCCTGAAAGCGCACGACGCGTGGATGGAGGAGCCCCGGGGGACTTCTTAGGACTTGCAATATATATATATATATATGTACATATATATGTATATAGTTATATATCTATATATATATATAATTATATATATATATCATATATCTATATATATGTATGTAGTCTAAGGGTAGTTGCATGCCTCCCTGCTATAGTCGAAACATAGTTGCATGGGTCCCTTAATGGTCCCCTACTTTCTTTACAGGGCTCTGAAGTTAAGGGACCATGTGAGTACCCTAAGATATATGAGGTTGGCTTGAGGGTAAACTCTCCCCGGCCCAAACTCAGGGGCATGGATTCATGAGTGGGTTTAGGGCTAGGATGCCCAGTAGTGCCCTTATTCCCTTTTTGGGGGCTCTAGGTTCCCTTATAAGCCCCTTTAAGCAAAAAAGGGCACCCTTTTTAGGCCTAGGTTACTGGGCAACCTAGAGGGTGTAGGGTCAGATTTGTCCGCAACTCCCGCGCAACCCTTTACCAGGGCCTCAAAGGTTTACCTTAATGGCGTATGTATATAGGGCATATTCAAGGAGACCCGAAACCCTATACCCTAAACCCGAAACCGCAGGGTTAGCATTGCTTGGTGGACTTGAGAGTGTAGTGGTCAGGAGGATGAAGCGTGAGCCTGTCAGTCTATCACTTCCTTCCAAACAAGCCCTGAACCCTTGAACCCAAGCCCTAAGCTCCTACTCCCTTGGACCGAATACACACCACCCCTAAACCCTAAAACCTAAACCCTAAACCCTAAACCCCAGGACGTCTCGCAGAGCCTTCAAGAGTGCCACGAGCGCTGCCAGCAGCTTTCGGAGGCTGCCTGGAATTGGGCTTCAAGGGTTCACGGAGCTGGTGGAAGTTTAGGGTTTAGGGTTGAAGTTTAGGGTTTAGGGCTTAGGCCTTAGGGTTTAGGGTTTAGGGTTTAGGGTCTATATGGTTTAGGGTTTAGGGTTTAGGGCTGCGCTGCAGCCACTTCTCAAGGAGAGGTACCCGCAGTTCTGGGTATAGCTGTTGTAATAGCTGTTGCTGGGTTTAGGGTTTAGGGTTTAGGTTCTTCCAACTGACGGGACTACCTCACTGTCCCAACTGCTAGCAGCTTGTTACACGTCATTCGAGCAGGTGGGGGAGGGGGGGAGGGGGGGGGGGTTGCCGTGCATCAGGGCTGTATAGCTATAGGGGTCGGAATAATTACTCATAGCATTCTTTTCTGGTCCCTTTATCATTATTCTACAACCCCCCCTCCCCCCCATACCCTATTTTAACTATTCAGGCGCTTATAGTAGATACCCTTACGCAAGAGGGGTCCTTCGGATACATCTTCCCAGTAGTTGGTGCCTCGACTTGGCATTGCCTCCCATGACAGAGTACCCTAAACCCTCAACCCTTAACCCCAAACCCTGAACCCTAATCCCAAAACCCTAAACCCCTAACCCTGGACCCTAAAAGGGCGTTTTTGCCTCGGCATGTTAAAAGGCCCGAAGGTATGAGGGACATGTGGTACAAGACGTCGCTGGAACTCTAGGTGCGCGGGGTTTCATACATTTACCTTTATTTTCTATATATATAGACATATGTATATATATATATATATACATATCTGTTTGTATAAACATAGTTGTTGTTTTGCAAGAGCTGGCATTTCATCCTTACCTATTTTGCTTCTTTCCACTCAAGCAGGACATCGTCGAGCAAGCGCAGCAGACGCAGGACGGGAGCTTTTATCCCCCTCCAGCCAACCCAATAAACCCGAAACCCTAATCCCCTACCTGCGCCCCCCAAGCCTCAAGAGATCTCACCAGTTGCTAGGACCCAGCCTTGACATTTTCTCATAAACGTTAGAGACACCCGACACCCGACCTAGAACTCAAACCCTAAAGCTTAAACCCTAAACCCTAAACCCTAAACCCTAGGCTCGCGCGTAGTTCGTTCCAGCATGGGGGGGACCTCTGAAGCAGGGTCTCGAAGGAGCCATAGGGGTCAAGTCCCGAAACTAATCCCCTCCCCGTAAAAGTACACCTCCCCTGCCCCCCACTATAGCCCCCATTCTAGTTACATGATAGTTTTTGCGGGGGTTTCTTATTTTAGGGGGTAGGGGGCCGGGCCTGGGGGGGGGGGGGTTAATATGAGAGGGAAGGGACAACATCCCATGTAAGAGGCCCTGGGTGCGTTTCATGATTTTCCTTTTCTGGGATTTACGAGAGCCTTCCTGAGTCCAGGAGTATTTTTCAGGGGGATTCTTCTGTGCAAGGGTGGCCTCAATCAAGCATGTAGGGTTTAGTGTTTAGGGCTTAGGGTCCATGTACCTAAATAGGGAATACGTGGGCCTTCATTAAGCCCCTCCTATTGTGGAAGTCAGGGCCCAAGCATACAGCAGTGAGGTGCATGGACCCTTCGGGTGGAGTAAGGGCAGAACCTTAAGGGGTGGAAGGAGGGACCCCTAGAAAGGGACCCTTAATCTTATTCCCCGATATACCCCCCCTCTATATATATATATATATACCTTGGATAGTCCTTATATACCTAAGTAGCCCCTAAATAAATGCCAAAGGACCCCCAAGGTCCCTTAATAAGGGTCCTTCCTTCACCAAGCAAGCAAAGGCGAGGCTCGATGCGAAGACCGACATCACGGCTTGGAATGACATGCGCTTCGGTGGCAGAACCCTACTTCGAGGCTCATGGGTACACAACTTATACGTCTACCTACAACCTGCTGAGAGGACTCATGGGGGGCTAGAGGTGCAGCTATAACTGGGTTATAAGAGGATGCCCAGTAGTACCCTTATTCCCTTTTTTGGGGGGTTTAGGTTCCCTTATAAACCCCTTTAAGCAAAAAAAGGGCACCCTTTGTAAGCCTAGGTTACTGGGCAGCCAAGAGTAAGCCCTGACCCTTGGGCCTCTGCGCTCCTAGGCTTTAGAGGGCCTAGGGCTCCGGATTTATTTTGGCGTGGGGTTTAGGCTATGGCCTCGGGTTTGGGGTTTAGGGTTTTGGGTTTTGGGTTTAGGGTTTAGGGTTCGGGGGGGGTTATTGGGGGCAATTTTCCCAAAGCCTTGGGACGCTGAAGGATGACGAACTGGCAGCACAACTAGCTGATCTGAGCATTGCTTACATGACATCTTTCCCCGAGTCAAGAGCCAGATTTAACGAGGCCTTAAGGGACCATCCCGTGTGTTATGATGGAAGCCAATGGAAGCCCTAAACCCTAACCCTCAGACCTAAGACCCCAAACCCTAAACCCTACACAGGGGATGAGACAACACAGAGCACTTTGGAATTCGAATCTGAGCGCGCTGCGATCAAGCGACGTCCACAATCACTCCCGAGATATGCTACATCTTGCACAGGGGGCAGTCGTGATAAGTAGGTGAGGCTTCGATTTTTGTTGTTGTGCACTAATGTGTGCGAGCTGTGTGTGGGATGCTGGCGCGAAGTTTGCGAGTGAAGCGGCAGTGCTGCTCTCAAAGGGGAAAGTTAGCAAGCCGAAGCCGCACTCAAAGCCGAGCTACGTTGCGCACAGCAGGTCAAAGATGTGTTGGATCTGGGGTTATAGGGCTTCTGGGGTCCAGAGTCGGGATCAGATCTCCTACATGTTCCTTCAGGGTCGAAACCCTAAACCCTAAACCCTAAACCCTAAAACCGAGATCAGGAATGATGACATCGATGCCTCCATCAAAACCGCGCTGGCCTCATGTAGCTCATGGTTGCCCTTAAGGCAGGGGTCTTACACGTGGTTTAGGGTTTAGGGTTTAGGGTTTAGGGTTTAGGGTTTAGCGGGCCCCCTTCCTACACAAACTTCAGGGAATTCCCTCAGAACCCTACATAGACCTTGGCCCCTAAAGCCCTATAAACCCTAAGCCCTAAAACCCTAAACCTCTAGAACCCCTGAAGCCCCGAAACCCTACAACCCCGAACTCAAACAATCCTATACCCTAAACCCTAAACCTCTGAAACCTAAGCCCCCAAAACCCTAAAACCCTGAAAACCTACGCCCTAAGACCCTAAAACCCTAAAACCTTAAAACCCTAAAACCCTAAAACCCTAAACCCTAAACCCTAAACCCTAAACCCTAAACCCTAAACAAGGTCAGGGACATGGCTTCCGCGCTGCGTCTGGAGGTGGACAGCCGGCGACGAAAGGTCGATGAGGTCGGGGGCGGTCGGGGCTTTGAGGGCTTTGGGTTTAGGGATTTAGGGGTTTAGGGGTTTAGGGGTTTAGGGTTTAGGGTTTAGGGTTTAGGGTTTAGGGTCGAGGGTTTAGGGTTTAGGGTTTAGGGTTAGGCGGCGTGGTTTAGAGGCAACAAGACATGCGAAGACCCGCGCGGGGAATTGCTCCCCGTGTCTACGGGCCGGGAGAGACATGGCGCAACTACTAAATTTGGGAGAAGTATGGTGCCCTGTTTGTTGAGTATTCGGTAGGGGATCATGTTTGCGCGTATTTGGTAGCTTTATCGCAGGAACTTGCATCTGGAACAAGAGGCCCGCCACCAGCACGCCTGATGATGGAGCATCGGCACTCAACCCCTACGTACCTTGACTTCAAAGCAACTCCTAGAACGCGACCGTGGTGACGGCGCAGATTGGATCTAGATGCATTACCTAAACCCTAAACCCTAAACCCTAAACCCGAAACCCGAAACCCTAAACCCTAAACCCTAAACCCTAAACCCTAAACCCTAAACCCTAAACCCTAAACCCTAAACCCTAAACCCTAAACCCATACCCAACACACCAAGCTTGTGACAAAGTTATCTCGCACCCCAACCCCCCCCCCCCCCCCCCCGCAAAACCTCAAAGCCCGAGTCCGGAAATCCAACTCGAGTCCTTAACCGTAAACCCTAAACCCTAAACCCTAAACCCTAAACCCTAAACCCTAAACCCACCCTGCTTTTCTGCAGGTTCTGGGCGCGCTGCGAGAGGACCTCAAGCGCCTGGAGGAGAAGGCAGCAATTGGGGGGGGCTTCCCCCGAGACTCCTTAGGGTTTAGGGTTTAGGGTTTAGGGCTTAGGGTTTAGGGTTTAGGGTTTAGGGTTTAAACTCCAACTAAAGCCCCTAAAACCCTAAGACCCTAAACCTCTCAACCCTATAAGCCTAGTATGTATAAACCCTGAACCCGGTTTAGGGTTTAGGGCTTAGGGTTTAGGGTTTAGGGTTTAGGGTGTAGGGTGTAGGGTGTAGGGTGTAGGGCGTTTAGGGTTTAGGTATTAGGGTTTAGGGTGTAACTAGGGTTTCGGGTTTAGGGTTTAGGGCCAGATTGGCCCCGAAAATGAATTGCAACAAGGTGCCGCTGTATCAAAGCTGAAGTACGCGCGCATGTACTCCTACTTGCCTAGCTGCCTATGTACCTGCACCCGCCTACCTGTGCATGCAGTCGTATGAGTTATTTGTTGAAACATGATTTTTTCATGAACCAGTGAAGCAGTTTTGTGTGTGTGTGTGTCTATATAAAAATACACACCTGCATGCACGTTGGCTCTCCCCACCTCACAGGGAGATGGCCCTAAGCCCTAAACCCTAAACCCTAAACCCCTAATTAACCCTAAACCCCTAATTAATCCTAAACCCCTAATTAACCCTAAACCCAAAACCCTAAAACCCAAAACCCAAAACCTTAAAGCCCCAAACCCTAAAACCCTAAAACGCTAAGCCCTGAAACCCTAAACCCTGGGCTGGCCCGAGGGAGATAGCAGCTCGGCGAATCTGCAGAGCCTGACAGAGGAGGCGACGGCTGCCGGGGCGCCCATCTCGAAAGAGTGTTTTGTTTGGAGTTCCGAGGGCATGGCGGTTACCCTAAACCCTAAACCCTAAACCCTACACCCTAAACCCTAAACATACAAAGCCCTAGACCTGACCATGAAACCCTGGGAAGCCCGAGTCTGATCCCTGAAAGTGACAACTCGGCTTAAGTAAGCCCGGACTCCGGGTTTAGGGTTTAGGGTTTAGGGTTTAGGGTTTAGGGTTTAGGGTTTAGGGTTTAGGGTTTAGGGTTTAGGGTTGAACCTGAAACCCCAAACCCCAAAAGCTGGCCCTTGAAACCCTAAAGCCTAAGCCCTTGAATCCCAAAACTGCTAAGCCCTAAACCCTAAACCCTAAACCCTAAGCCCTAAGCCCTAAACCCTGCACCTGACAATGCCTCTGAGGTCCTCAGTCAGAGGCTGGAGGCCATCCGGGAATGAGGGTTTAGGGTTTAGGGTTTAGGGTTTAGGGTTTAGGGTTTAGGGCTTAGGTTCGAGAAGTTTGAGAAGTTTGACAATTCGGTAGGGGTTTGGGTTATATCTTGTTTGCCCTTGTTGGGTTTAAGAGGATCATATTCAGGAATTGTTTTTTTTCTAGAGGTTTTTTTGGGCCACCCTAGACAACATTTACAGCCAACTTCCACTGAACTTCCACTGTTTAGGGTTGAGGGTTTAGGTTTTAGGGCGTTCAGGACGCGTGGTTTTCATGTAGGGGTTGCGGAGATCTCTAAAGGGAGACCCAGGCTCAGAAGCCTTCTGTCTCAATTTTTGCTCCCTTCAACAAGGGATGGTCTAATTCTATATTCCCAAAAACCATCCCTAAGCTTACCTATTTGGGGGCTTACGAAAATAAAGGATTCTTAAGAGAGACCCCCAAATAGTAGGATTCCCTTTAAATAAGCACCCCAATAAGCTACCCCTACTTTCGGAAAAAAGGGTTTAGGGTTTAGGGTTTAGGGTTTAGGGTTTAGGGTTTAGGGTTTAGGGTTTAGGGTTATCGAAAGCTCTTGAAATCTTAGTAAGCTCTGGGGGCACATGCAAGGTTGCAAGCAGCCCCCAACACCCCCAACGCCTCAATCCAACAGCAATCCCTCAACCCCTGAGCCGACAGGCCTACAGACCCCAAAGCATTTTTGTGCGGGCTTAGGGTTTAGGGTTTAGGGTTTGGGGCTTGGGGTTTAGGGTTTAGGGTTTGAGGGCTTCAGGACATGGGCTGAAGACTTTTTGGGGCTTTGGGTGCTCAAATTCCTCGGGCTCCAACATGTGCAAAACCCTAAACCCTAAACCCTAAACCCTAAACCCTAAACCCTAAACCCACGGAACAGAGGAGCGCCTGCAACACTGCCAAGACCTGGAGGCTACGCTCCGTACGTCCCCCGGTGTGGCCTCGGGGTTCAACTTCCGAAGTATTCCGGGTTTAAGGGTTAAGGGTTTAGGGTTTAGGGTGTAGGGTGTAGGGTTTAGGGTTTAGGGTTTAGGGGGTTCGGGTGCAAGGTTTATAGAATTTGTATTGTGTTTGGGTCCCAAAAAGTTTTGAGCGAAACGTTTTGAGCGAAAGTTTTAAGCGAAATGTTTTTTTAGATATCAGGTTAGGGCTAGGGGGGAAGGGGGGGGGAGGGGGTCCCAATAAGTTTTGAGCGAAAGCTTCTGTTTTTAACCTAATGCATTTGTGTTTTTGGGCCTTCCGGCCCTGGCTGGCCTCTTGGAAATTCTTTGGGTGGAAGGCCCTAGAGGTTTAAGTAAATTGAGCCTTTGTGGTACTTTACTGTAACTTTAGATCCTTACCTTTTTTGGGTTTATTGGGTTTCTTAATAAGGCAGCTAAAAATTTAATTTTTACAGCCAAGGAGCATATGGCCTCCCAGGCGCTGTGGATGAATGTACTTGAATGTACTTAAACTCTGCTTGTCAGCTGTTTAGACAAACAACCTGGGAAAATTCAAAATGATACAACATACAATTTCTGTTTATCTTGTCTTGAGGGTTTTGGGTTTTGGGTTTTGGGTTTAGGGTTTAGGGTTTAGGGTTTAGGGTTTAGGGTTTAGGGTTTGGGGCACGCATGTCCGGAGTGGAGGCATGTTCGTGGTTTGTAGCGCTTACTCGGGGCTGTAGGAGTTGAGGGTTCAGCGCTTTTGGGCGCAGAGAAATTGGGCTTGATGCGCGGGGGGATTGGGGGATGGGGGACGCATCCCGAAATCCTAAACCCTAAGCCCTCAGCCCTAAACCCTGAACCCTAAACCCTAAACCCTAAACCTAAGACCTAAACCCTAACCCTAAACCCTGAATCCTAAACCCTAAGCCCTGAACCCTAAAAGCTCAACAAACCCTAAACCCTAAAGCCCTGAGCAAGGTCTGTAAGCCAACAAAACCCACGAAATCCCGCCTGAACCCCTAAGCCCTCAAGCCCTATGACCATTAGCCCCAAAGGCCCCTAAAAACCCCACTAGCCCTAAACCCTAAACCCTAGAGCCCACAATTCCAACCTGCTAAGACCGGCATGCCGACGTGCACGTGAGCATGCACGCAAAGGCGGCTTGTGCTCGAAATTAATTCGGGTTTAGGGTTTAGGGTTTAGGGGTTAGGGGTTAGGGTTTGAGGCTTAGTTCATTTAGGGTTGAGGTTTTAGTTTGTTTTGGGCTTTATTTAAGGTTTAGGCTTTAGGGTTTTATTGTTTAGGGTTCAGGGTGCAGGAAAAATGACCGTCCTGCAGGGTCTGGCTTGAAACTTTGCGCCCGGGGCGTTCTGTGGGAGGCAGTTCCGTCAGTTTAAGGCTTTAAGACACAATCTTCAGGGGGAGAGAGTCCTCGTTTCACACGGGCCCGCTTCTCTAACCCCAAACCCTCAACCCTCAACCCTAAACCCTAAACCTGCGGCCAAGAAGGAGCCATCAGTTTAGATAACTTTGTAAGAACAGTAGCACCAAGAGGAACAGCAGTTAAGAGGAGCTGCAAGGCTTGCCTATTATGGGCAGTGATAAGACTGGTCTCGGGTCTAGGGTTTTGGGATTCATCTGAGGGTAGTTTCATGCTCCCTCAACGTGGTCCTTTACCCTCTTTAAAGTGACCATGTCGATCATCCCACTGAGGAAAACGGACGAGTGAACGTGGCCGTTTTCTGTAATTGGGGTAAGCATCGAATCGTGGCGTTCGTGGAGCTGCTGCGCGAGCGTCTGGACGATGCCAGGTTGTCTGCGCAAATTGCGCACATGGCGAGATACTGCTGGGATCGTGACCCTAACTGGACGGATGATACTTGGCCGTCGACAGAAACCTGGCAAGCCTTGTATGGGCTCTTCATGCGTACGGGGTATTTAAGGGGTATATATGCGCACATAAGGGGCGCCCTTTTAAGGGCCCATACTAAGGGACCATGTAACTAGCCTTAGAGTTTAGGTTTCTTCCCCAAGCGCACCATGCCCGTGGGGCCTTCGGGCTAACTTCGGGTTTAGGGTTTAGGGTTTAGGGTTTACGGTTTCGGGTTTAGGGAGTACGGTTATGCACCTTGCTGAAGCTCTTTAGGGCATCTTGAATGGTACTCTTGGGCCTGCGGGCTTCAACAGCTGCGTGCTTGTAGGGCCAGGGTCGAGTTTCCTACCTTGTGTGCACGCTCTTGCGTTCATTTTTTGCGGGGTTTGGGGCCTAGAGGTTTGACCTTGATGAGAGTCGTGGCCTGTTTGCGGCCTACCATTGGAGACAGAGCCTCGCTTGTGGCACAAATGCATCGAATGCACAGATCAGGTTTATATCAACATCAACGTGCAATATTTGCATATAGTTATATTGGAGCACGACATGTGCCAATACTTTCATGTACACAAACTACACAGACCCCTAAACCCTAAACCCTAAACCCTGAACCCGGCTATCATTAAACTCAACTTGAACTGCAGATCGACGGGAACAAGGATGAGCTGGAGAATCAGATAAGCCTCGCGTTGGCAGTCAGCTTAGGGTTCAGGGTTTAGGGTTTAGGGTTTATAAATAGGGTTGTTTAGGATCTAGGGGTTAGGGTTCAGGGTATTTAGGGTTTATAAATAGGGTTACTAGGCCTACCTGGAGCTTTCAAGGTTTAGGGTTTAGGGTTTAGGGTTTAGGGTTTAGGGTTTAGGGTTTAGGGTTAGGGTTTAGGGCTAGGGACTTAGAACCCTGCGCCGAGCGATCATCTCTTCAGCGCCCCACAAGGGCCACGAGCCCCAAAGTCGCGTACCAAGCGTTCTGGGGTTTGTGGGGTCAATAAGGGTTCAATAAGGGTTCAATAAGGGCTTCAATAAGGGTTCAATAAGGGTTCAATAAGGGCTTCAATAAGGGGTTCAATAAGGGTTCAATAAGGGTTCAATAAGGGTTTGCAAGGGCTTAGAAGGGTTTATACGGGTTTGAGGTTGAGGGTTTAGGGTTTAGGGCAAGCCCGAACATGCCAGTATACCATGCTAGACGCAAAATATAACCCCAAACCCCAACCCCCAACCCCCAACCCCCAACCCCCAACCCCCAAACCCCAAACCCCAAACCCCAAACCCCAAACCCCAAACCCCAAAGCCCAAAGCCCAAAGCCCAAAGCCCGAAGCCCAACCCTTCCAAGATCTCGTGGAGTCTTCGCTGATCAAACAGGCGCGCTCTGTCCTGGGGTTCACAGCTTAGGGATTCGGAGTTAGGGTTTAGGGTTTAGGGTTAAGGGTTTAGGGTTGCAGGGTTTGGGGTTACTGTTCCCGTACCACCCCCCCCCCCCCCCCCTCCCTAGCCTTAGTTAGTTCCAGTGTTCCAGTTTAGGATTTAGGATTTCGGGTTATTGCTCTCTTAGACTCTTCACAACTCTACTCGGCGGGGCTCTAAACGATGGTCCTCCTCCGGTTTGGAGCCCTTCCTTGTGCCCAAACCAAGAGGGGCCAGACTTTAGGCAACCACCCACTTATTTCCGATTTAGGGTTTAGAGGTGTTAAGGGTTTGGGGTTTGGAGTTTGGAGTTTGGGTTTTTTTTGGTTTGGGGCTTGGGGTTTGGGGCTTGGGGCTTGGGGCTTGGGGCTTGGGGCTTAGGGCTTGGGGCTTGGGGCTTGGGGTCGGGTTTGGTGCGGTTTTTGGGCCCAGCATGCCCACAGTATCGCCTTCGGGTTCAACTCTCCAGTTGGTGCTTTGGGGTTTTCGGACTGAGTCGTCGATGGATTGCTTTGTGGGTTTGGGGGGGGTTCAGGGTTTGGGTTTCCGAGCTCTGAAGCTCGGCAGTTTGATGTCAAGTTCTGGGGCTGCTCGAGCTACTGAACCTGAGATCAAGTGCTTTAAGCGTAGGAAGCCCCCACAAACCCTGATCCCTAGTGAGGGCCGGTTTGGAAGCGACGGACCTTCAGAATGAGGGGGCCCAATGCGGCTTTAGGGTTTAGAATTTATGCTTTCGGGATTTGTAGTTCGCTGTACGTGGGGTAGTCTAGGGTTATGACTTTCATTCGTGGTAAACACTGTGGCCATCTTGGAAAGATTCTTTAGTGTTTGTCGAGTGATTTTGAAGTGATTCTGGATAGTGATTGTTTTCAAGGGTCGCTCCGAGATCACCCCGAAAGCGCTCCGAAAGCGCTCCGAAATCGCTCCAAAATCACTCCGAAATCGCTCCACGCCCTGGAAAAAGCTTGAATCTCGCGCAAACAAATTTTTTCGAGCGTCATTCCAAAATTCCGAATCACTCCGAAATCGCTCCAAAATCACTCCAAAATCACTCCACAAAATCACTCCGAAATCGCTCCAAAATCGCCAGAAAATTAAAGTGATCATCTACAATGTTTACCACAGAATGAAAGTCTCAAGTCTAGGGTTTCGGGCTCAGGGCTGAGATCTTTCATCGCCGTTCAGTGTCCATGCTGGATTTGATCCGAGTTGGCGTGCTGGGGGCTCATGTTTGCACGACCCGCACAAACATCTTAGCTTAAAAGGGGGGGGGGGCTTCGGACAGCTGAGTTTGTGCCCGCGCGTCACTGAAGGAACCGCCCTAAGCCCTGAAACCTGAACCCTGTATACCCTATATCCTGAACCCTAAACCCTAAACTCGCGTAGCTCGAGGATGAAGATCTCCACAGGGAGATCAACGAACGGGTCGATGCTGTGGAAAGACACCACTCGAGCATCTCCAAGGCCGATCTCTTTTTTTTTTTTTGTGTGTGTGTGTGTGTGTGTGTGTGTTTTTGTTTTTTTTGTTTGGGAGGGGGGGGGGGGGGGGGGGGGGGGGGGGGTGAGGTATCAAGCTTAGGGCGTAGGATTCCGGGTTTTTAGGTTGGGTTGTTCCCCCCTATACTAACAGTCCTTGGATGAGAAGAGGGGGCAATATAATCCCTATTAACTATCATGAAAAGGGGAACATCTCAATTTGTAGGGTTTATAGGGTTTATAGGGTTTACAGGGTTTACAGTGTTTGCAGGGTTTACAGGGTTTACGGGGTTTTGAGGGGTTTAGAGGGTTTAGAGGATGTATAGGGTTTATAATTATAGTTATCGGGTTAGGGCTTTGAATTTTGGATTCGAGGCTAGCTTATATCGAGGCATCCTGCAACCTGCCCCCCTCCCTCGCAAGCCTGCCCTTACACTTCTGGCACATCGAGTCAAACCGCTCAAAACGCGAGGGCTTCCGGACTTAGGGACCCGAAGCTTTCACCAACAAGGCCATGAAGCTTGCTCCGAGGCCCCGTAGGGAGTAGGGTTTAGGGTCCAGGGTTTAGGGCTTGGGGTTGGTGGGTTGTTTATTGACACCCCAAACCCCACCCGCCTGGTCGATTCATGGGATTCGGACATGTTTACCCTAAACCCTACACCCTAAACCCTAATCCCTAAACACTAAACCCTAAACTCTGAACCCTAAACCCTAAACCCTAAGCCCCATTTGTTGAATGCAAGTAGCCCTTCCGCCCCCAACCTAGGAGACCGCCAAGCGCCTGAACGCGCTCGACCTGCGTATCGCGGGCCTGCAAGGCCGCAGGGCACTGGCAGGTACAGGGTTTGATAGGGTTTCGGGTTTAGGGTTTGATGGGTTGTTACGGGGGCTTTGTGGGTTTTTAGGCTTTTTATAGGGTTTTATCATCAGCTTTTTTTCTTTTAAGGGCTTTAGGGCTTTAGGGCTTTAGGGTTTTTGTGCAGGGTTTCGGATGTTGGCTTTTCTGTTTAGGGTTCACAGCGCTTAACGCTTACCTTAACAGTCCTTATTAGGGATAATAGGGGGGGGGGTTCTAGAATCCCTACCAAGGACGGTTATCACATCCCGAATCATGTGGGTTCTAAGAACAAGAAGGGTTGAGCTTCGCAAGATGTTATTTAGGGTTGTTTTTCCACTGCATCGTTCAGGGCCTGGGTATAGGAAACAGGGTGGCGGGGGGGCAGCCCGGGGGTAAGCTGTTTCTAGCACCGGGAGTCCAGGCACAGGCTGTGTAAGGGTAGATTTTTCAACTTCCCAGTGTTGGCTTAGTTACAGTGCTCTTGCTAAGGACATTAAATTGAGTTACCAAAGCATTGCTTGTGTAATTCGACCCTAAACGCTGAACCCCCGATCAACGCTAAACTTGGATCACTGATCTCCTTATTAAAGTCACTTGTTGCTCTGTTCCTGAACAGTAGCCCAACTGCCGTGGCATATCATCGGGACATGTTTGCAGGAGCAGCAGTGGAGACCCATCACCGGGGTGGAGCACATCTTTTCCGAGGTGATGATGGTGGAGGATGAATTGGCCGAGTGAGAGACAGAAAAAGAGAACCGTCACCAGGTCGCGCTGAGTCAGGAGCGTAGTGGGACCTACCACTCCAAATCGCAGGTCCCTGAGACCACCGTTGACGTGGGAGCAGGCCCCAGAGCCTCAGGCCCCACTCTTCACACGTGAGCAGGTTTTGCAGTTTCAGAGGATGCAGCAAAGCGCGCCCCAACTGGGCAGTTTAGGGTTTAAGGTTTAGGGTTTAAGGTTTAGGGTTTAGGGTTTAGGATAACCGTACTTATGACCCACTTGTAAGCCCATGAAGTGCCCCAAGGTGGTTATAAGTACTCGTACAGTTATGTCTGCACACGTGCAATTGGTTCATAAGTACCATGAACCTCCAAGTTGGGCCCATGCGATCCCGAGCAACAATAATCGGTCCGCGCCGATCATCTCGGCACGCTCTGTTTAGGGTTTAGGGTTTAGGGTTTAAGGCTTAGTTTAGGGTTTAGGGTTTAGGGTTTGGGGTTCGGGTTTAGGGTTTAGGGGCATCTGCAGCCACACATCGACAGCAACTGCAGCAGTTCGAGCTTGCATTGAACTGGAGCAGGGCAGGCTTAAATGCGTTTAGGGTTTAGGGTTTAGGGTTTCGGGTTTGCGGATTAGGGTTTATTTAGGGTTTAGGGTCTAGGGTTTAGGGTTTAGGGTTCAGCAAGCAGCTGGGATGTCTGTGTCCTTACGGGACGAGGTATGTCAATCGGAAGCTGCATCGGAGCGTTTGCGCAAGGAGTTGCAAGTGGCAAGGCGACATAATGTTTGGGCCGCATGAGGTTGGTTCAGGGTTTAGGGTTTCGGGTTTAGGGTGTTAGCGGGCTCTATATGTGTTGGGCTTAAGCACCACGGATACCGAATCCCAATCCTACGCCCGCCGAGCCGTGAACTCTAGGGGCTAAGGGTTTGTAGACCAGGTGCCTGAAGTAGTTGCAAGTACCACATTTGGTCAGGTTACAAGTCCTTTTGTTTTTTGTTGTTTACGGTTCGTTCTGGTTTCAGGTTTGGGGCCACTAAGCACCATGTCCTGACTCCTTGTGGCCCGGAGCACCCTTACCTCAACCCTGAACCCTGAACCCCAAAGCCTGAACCCCAATCCCTGAGCCCTAAACCCTAAACCCTAAACCCTAAACCCGAAACCCTAAACCCACAGTGCGGCTCGGAGGTGCCAGTGGCGAGTCCAAGAGGGACATCGGGAAGTTAAGGGACGAGGTGCGCTGGTTGGGGCGTATCCTGCTGGTTCTTGGTAGGGTTCAGGGTTTAGGGTTTAGGGTTTAGGGTTTAGGGTTTAGGGTTTAGGGTTTAGGGTTTAGGGTTTAGGGTTTAGGGGTTCAGGGTTCAGGGTTCAGGGTTTAGGCTCAACCTTAAACCCTACCGAAGAGCAACCTTGTAAGCCGTGAACAGCAGAAGCCGGTCTCTGGGTGTAGAGTTTACGGCTTCCCTGTAGTAGCCTTTACCAAAAAAGGGAAGTGTGGCTTGAGTATGTTCTCCGTTTATTCAGGTACAAGGTGCTCTTATATAGGTAGGGCTTCTTAAGTTTACAATTAGCGCCCCCCCCCCCCCCCGCCCAAGATGTAAGCAGGGTTGGAAGGACCCCAAGATGGGTTATACATCTTCTTATTTAGGTGATAACTCCCTTAAGTTTGTAGAGTGACCTGACACGGGGCCGCTCCCCGTACTTCTCCGGTGGTGCCGAGAGTCAACCGACATTATTGGGTTCCCACAGAAACTCAACCAAACATGTGGGAGTTAATTTGGGACTAAATGAACTTGAAGCTGGGATCGTATATCCTGTGCTACTAGAATCTCGTGAATGTGCCAGAAGCTCTTGTTATGCTTCCGTCAGTACAGAGCCACTGAGGTCAGCCTGAATTAAATGTCAACCCCTAATTCAGTGCACTGGCCGCTCCGTAAGGTTCTCATGACACAGGTCACTTCTGCAATGGAACGCCAGCAAGGGCCGCATGAACGCAGTGTATTCCAAACGGATGTATCTGTGTGTATACAGAGCTCAAATCTGAAAATCTGTCAGTCTACTCAACCCTGTCCTTATCCCTGAACCCTTTTTGTTCACCCTGCCCAACGCCTTGAGCCCCTAAATCCGAAAGCCCGAGCTTGTGCCCGCGCAGGTTAACAGCCTCACCGTCAAGAGTGCCGCGCACGACGTGGACATCGGAAAAGGTGCACCAGCTCCCTTAAGAACCCAAAGCCCAATCGTTCTAGACCCCTCTGACCCCAAAACCCTGCACCTCTTAGGGTTCAGGGCTTAGGGTTTAGGGTATGGATCCTAAACCTCCCAAAGAACGGAAAGAAATCAACCAACCCCCTCCGCTGTCAAGTGTCCGAAAAGGCCCTTGCGAACCACTCCTCTCCCAAAACTCAGAGCCCTGAATCGATAAGCCCTTAAACCCTCTGAGGGTACCTGAGATTATATGGGGGGATGCTGTAAGTTTGCGCCCTCTTTTTGGGGGTTGCTACAAGGCGGCCCCTCATCTTTGTGGGTACTCAAAAAGGGACCAGAATGTTGAGAACTGACCTTATGGGTTTCGACTTACAATATTCGGCTCTAGGAGAGGGTTTAGGGTTTAGGGTTTAGGGTTAGGGTTTAGGGTTTAGGGTTTAGGGTTTAGGGTTTAGGGTTTAGGGTTTAGGGTTTAGGGTTTAGGGTTCGGGGGTTCAAGGAGGCGGCTTGGGCAACACGAACATCAAGGATGCGCGCTTGGGCGCACTTGATTAGGCTCCAAATAGCCCGAAGCCTTATTCAAGAAGGCCTTTGGGCCCAAAACCCTAGAACAAGAGTCCTTAGAGCCGGAGGGCAAGCCAGCACTTAGAAGCTCCTGTGACATAGTAAGTCTATTTGCCCATAACCCTCCTTACTATCCCTACTTAGGGTAGCCCTGCGAAAGTCTGACCCTAAAGGCCCTAAACCCTAAACCCCAAACCCTAAACCCTAAACCCTAAACCCTAAACCCTAAACGCCAAACCCTAAACCCTAAACCCTAAACCTTAAACCCTAAACCCTAAACCCTAAACCCTAGCTGCTCCAGCGCCTCCTGAGCCTGGCTCTGTGAAGGCAGCGACGACCTGCGGAAGCTCGAGCGTCTCCGAGCGGAGGTGGCATCCGACCACCCGGTCTGTGGGTTTTGGGGTTTAGGGTTTAGGGTTTAGGGTTTAGGGTTTAGGGTTTAGGGTTCGGGTTCAGGGTTAAGAGTTTAGAGTTAGGGTGTAAGGCTTAGAGTTCAGGGTACATGGTTTAGGGATCAGGGTTTCGGGTTTGAGGTTTAAGGTTCAGGGTTTAGGGTTAGTTTAGGGATCAGGCGCGGCTGACTCAAAAATAGCGCGACGTTGTCGATCTTTGTTAGGCTTGGTAGCCCAGAGGAGCCCTTTTGCCTCTTCGTTTGGGGTATAGGTTTCCTTATAGGACAGCCAACCGCAGTAAGGGTGCCCTTATCGGAATCTGGTTTCTGGGCTTAGGGAGCATGTCAATCTTGAGCTTGTTCATGCCGACGTGGGCTTTGGACTTGGCGCAGAGGCCGAGTTTGACCCCGTACTTCCTCTCTCCAAGCCCCAACTACTGAGTGATTGTTGGAGAACTTACACTAAGGTACAGTAAACCGGTGATATGCGTGTTTTTTTTTCAAAAATAGGAGCACTTTGAATACACTGTGACATGCTGAACATCCAATAGTACGCCATTTTCGGAACCCCCCCTCCCATACAGTACATAGATGAAGCATTCATCACTTCTCACATCAGCTCTTCAGCGGCCCAGCTTTAGGGTTGGGGTTGGGGGTTGAAGGTTTAGGTTTAGGGTTGAGGGTTAAGGGTTTTTGGGTTGAGGGTTAAGGGTTTAGGGTTTAGGGTTCAGGGACCATGTTTGAGCAGCCATGGGCTCAAGTATAGGGCAGATCCCCTCTGCATCACACATACCCCGCAAACCCTGTTCAAGGCACTTGCAACCACATCCTCACTCATCCCAAAGCCGCGCCGCCATGACGGCGCAGGATTTGGCGCGTGCAGCCTGGTTCGATGCTTACTGGATGCTGCTGGGCCCCTTGCTGGCTCTGCTCTTTTGCGCGCTGCCCCTTCCGCAGCATGGGAGCTTCCAGCAGGCCTCGCCATGTCTGAGATATCTTACAAGGGGCCTGCTGCTCGTCCCTTTGTCATAGTTGGGTAACATTTTACATTTTCTAAGGGTACTTAAACCCAATCAGGAATAGACGTTTAGATTTTTAATACTATCCTAGACCCTAAACCCTAAACCCTAAACCCAATAAGGGATAGACATTTAGATTTTTATTATACTATCCCAGCATGAGCTAGGTCTATACGATCCACCAGCTTGAAGAACACGGCTGGGACCTCTACGGAAACCGGTACTCTTTCATCTCCTGGATGAACTCGGCATCTGGGCTCTAGTGTATAAACCCTAAGCCCTGAAGATACCTCCAAACCCAAGCCCGACATCTAGTCCTAAGGGTCCATGTACCTTATTATTATATACTTGGGCCCCAAGGTCCTTATGTAGGAAGTACTTTAAGGCCCAAGTATTCCCTATTTAGGTGCATGGACCCTAGGGTAGGCTCCATTTGCCCAAACCCGAAACCCTAACCCAAAAAACCTCCGCAAGCCCAAAATCTTAGACCCCGAGCCGGGGCGTTCGCGCACGGATTGCTGCAAGCAGCACCGCCCCGCCCTGGCCTACAAGCCCTAACACCTAAACCCTTCGGCTTAGGGTTTAGGATTTGGGGGAGTTTGGGTTTAGGGTTTAGGGTTTAATTAGAGTTTAGGGTTTAGGGTTTAGGGTCTAGGGCTACTAGGGCTCATCGGGTGTGTGCTGAGACTTCCCAAGGTGATGGCAGCCAAGAGCGGATTGGCGATCACGGTTCGGCAGGTGACTCTGGTGAACGTCCTGACCGTGTGGGTCGGCGAGGCGCTGTGCGGCTTAGGGTTTAGGGTTTGGGGTTTAGGGTTTAGGGCTCGGGTTTAGGGTTTAGGGTTTTTACAGCAATTTCAACCTTGCAATCCTTAGCCTAAGCCCTTCAAACCCCAAAGCCCCAAAGCCCGAAACCCTCCAAACCCCTCAACCCCAGAATCCTACTCCCTAAATCTGGGCGTTGGCTCGGGGGCGTACGACCTCTTCTGGGTTTTGTCTGGCTTTTTTCGTGGCGCCCTAAGCTAAGGGTTTAGGGTGTTTAGGGTTTCCGAAACCCTCGATCCCGAAACACATCAGGTTTGTTGGGTTTCAGGGTTTTAGGCTTTAGTGTTTTGCGGTTTTAGGTTCTTTTTTCCAGTCAGGATGGGCTAGCTATAATCCCCATAATCAACCCCATCAAGGGCCTTTTTGAGGGTTTATAGGGTCTAGTAGCCCGTCCTGGTGTCTGGATATGCTTTAGCTGATGCACGTCGTCGAACCGAATGGTCCGTCTTTGTGGGAAACTACATATTGCGTCCCTGAATCCCAATCCCTTGTCATGTTCCTCTTATACTAACAGTCCTTGATACGGATTGTAGTCCCCCCTAAACCCCAGACCCTAAACCGTAAACACTCTATTCTAATCCCGATGAGGGACTGTTAGTACAGGGGGGAACATCCCAACTTCAACCCCCCATTTAACAAATCCAGCCCGTGCAGATCACTGCCTGCCTTTCTGCCGAAATCTTCGGCCGCAGCTCGCTTGGTTTAGGGGTTAGGGTTGATGGCTTAGGGTTTAGGGTTTGGGGCACTGATGCAATGCCGTGTCTTATAAACTGGTGTACAATGCACGAATCGAAAGGCTAAGCCTGAGAGCTTATATGATTCCTTCGGCACCATGTCAAAACAGACCCAAAAGCCGAGTCCAGCAATCCGTGTTTCTATGGTCTGTTTATGTGCGGCTTGTTGTTGAGCTTGTCTACTCTTCATCCCTAATTAACTCCCGAGTCGAGGCAACAGCCCTTAAACGGGTGCTCCCTAAACTCTAAAACACTGAGCCGTTAGCCCTAGTAGACCTAAAACCCTGAACCCTAATCCCTAAACCCCCAACCTTCAACCCTACCCCCAAACGTTAAAAGCCCTAAACCCTAAACCCTCAACCCTCAACCCCCTAAACCCTAAACCCTAAACCCTAAACCCTAAACCCTAAACCCTGTTGCATTGGAGCCTGGCGATGTCTGGCTAAGGTTCACTGCCTGTGGCCTTCCACTGGGCGCTGGCCACGGCGAATGCCGTGGTTCACCTCAGTGTCTGGGTTGCGGGTTTGGGGTTTGGGGTTTAGGGTTTAGGGTTTGGGGTTTAGGGTTTAGGGTTTAGGGTTTGGGGCGCAAGCCCTAAACCCTAAACCCCAAACCCCAAACCCTTTGCGCCCCTAAAGCCTCAACCCTAATCCCCAAAAGGGTTTAAGACGCAGCGGCCGCAAGCTCTTAGTGTACCAGTATGATGTTGCGGCTGAGGTTGCGGTTGTGGAATGAATGAAAGAAAAGAAGAGTTTATGGGTTTATCGGTTTAGGGGTTTAGGGGCTTATAGGGTTTATGGGTTTAGATAGGGCTTATAGGGTTTCTGGGTTTATATAGGGTTTGAGGTTTAGGGTCTAGGGTGTGAATCCCAAACTCCCTACCGGTGGAATTTCTGGGAAAGGTCTTGGAATTTAGACCTCAATTCCTCAACCCCAAAACCCAAAACCCTAAACCCGAAACCCCAAGAACCCTAAGAACCCCAAGAACCCTCAGGACCCTAATCCTAAACCCTAAACCCTCAGAACCCTAAGAACCCTAACCCTGAACCGTAATCCTAAACCCTGAACCCTGAACCCTAAACCCTAAACCCTAAACCTTAAACCCTAAACCCTAAACCCTAAACCCTAGCGGCCCTAAGCCCAGGCTTCGTCGCCGCGACGCGAACCTACAATCCAGGAGCTGGGCAGAGCGTGACGCTGGGCTTCTTAGGGTCCTTGGGGGCAGAGGGAGCGTCTAGGGTTTAGGGTGTAGGGTGTTGGGTGTAGGGTTTAGGGTTTAGGGTTTAGGGTGTTGGGGGGAGGGTGTAGGGTTTAGGGTTTAGGGGTTTAGGGTGTAGGGTGTAGGGTTTAGGGTTTAGGGTTTAGGTGGGGCATGGGTCGAAAGGGGGTTAAGTATTTTGATGTTCCCAAACTCCGTGTTCTCAAAGTACCCCCCCTCCCCCCCCCCCCCCCCCCCCCCAACCCCCCCCCTCACCCACCCCCGCCTTGATGAAGGACCCGGCATCCTACCTGCACCCCCACCCTCAACAAGCAATACCCGAAACCCCCAAACCCCCTGTACCCCTTAGCCCTAAACCCAGGGTTTAGGGTTTAGGGTTTAGGGTTTAGGGACACACAAAAAAATCCCTGGAGTAGATGGTAGCTGCCAACGCAAGGATACAGTTCGCCCTGGGCGCTTGCTTCTTTTCCGAGCACCTAGGCATGCAGCGGTCCCTATAAAGCCTAAACCCCATAGGGTTCAGGGTTTAGGGTTCAGGGTTCAACAGGGTTTAGGGTTTAGGGTTTAGGGTTTAGGGTTTAGGGTTCAGGGTTTAGGGTTTAGGGTTTAGGGTTTAGGGTTTAGGGTAACACAATGGTTATCACGCATGTACTACCAATCTGACAACAGATATGTATAATGCTGCGTATAGACATGAGCTTGAGTATATGTAGCATTGTGTGCAACATAGGTATTTCTGGACCCGCGGCTTCTCGTTTCCCTTGCTGGTGCTTCTCTTCGTGCTGGGTGGGCCGGTTGGACACCTGGGTGGCATCGCCTGACTCTCAGTCGGCGGGTGCAACTTTTGGAACCCTGGATCTTAAACCAAAAGAGCCCTAAAGCCTCGATAGGGGTTCTGTTAGACCCTAAGCCCTAGACCCTACACCATAAATAGGGTTCTATTCGACCCTAAGCCCTGAACCCTAAACCCTACATAGGATTCTATTAAACCCTAAATAGGCTTCTACTAGGCCCTCTAAGTCTAACCCCAAACCCTAAATGGGATTCAGAAGTTGAGGCCTCAAGAATCTAGGATCGTGCGTGCCGGGACCCGGTGGTGGCCAGAAAATCACAGCAAGAAAGGGTTTGGGATTTGTTGTTTAGGGTTTCGGGTTTAGGGTTTGTTTAGGTACTTGTGGGTAGGAATGCTAACCGTATCCAAAAGGGTGTACGATCTGCAGTGTACCCTAAACCTTAAACCCAGACCCCAAGCTCTGAACCTTCTTTAGGCTTCCGGGTTGAACATGGATTGTTTGGGGTGTAGGCCTAGGGTTCGCGGTGCTGGCTCTCAGGTCCTGCCCTTGAAGCTCGGCGTGAGCGACCCTGTCTTCGCACTTTTCCAGCTCCTGGTTGCGGTGGCGCTGCCGGCGTTGCTGTCCTTCTTGCTGGAGCGACCTGCTGCGTCTGAGCCTAAGGGAAAGCAGAAGGATGACTAGGACTCTGGTCCATCTGCATAGTTGTACATAGGCTTTCTGTGACCCAAGTACCCACTCGCAAGGGCCCGTAACCCTCTATGAAAGGGTCAAGAGCTCAGGGACATAAGTAGGTTAGGGTGTTGGAGTCTGAGACGCCCCGGCGGTCTCTCACCGCCGTTGGGTTTTCCCGCTGCAGATTAAAAAGATCTTGCCCGTCATGCAGCGTGGCTTCCTACCTGGAGTTTAGGGTTTAGGGGTTAGGGGCTACGAGTTTCTGGGTTGGGAGTCGGGAGTTTGAGTCTCTTCGTAACTAGGGTGCCCATCGGGGTGTGTCTCGTGAGCCTGAGCCCTCTCAATCCTTAAAATCTACTACCCCATACCCTATAGTGCTCATATGCACTCGCCTAGAGGAACGGTTGCTTAGGGTTTAGGGTTTGGAGTTCAGGGTTCAGGGTTTAGGGTTTAGGGTTTAGGGTTAGGGGCCCGGCAAGAGACGGAACCCAGACCTAACCCTGAACCCAAAACGCCGAAACGCTAAACCCAAAGTCAACCCCAAACCCTTAACCCAATGAGGTTTAGGGTTGTTTTCGAGTGCTGGTTGTAGCCGAAGCATGCCGCGTGCTCACCCTAAACCCTCAACCCCAAAACCTCAACCCTAAACCCTAAACCGATTCAGTGGTGGTGGACAGCAAGCCATCAAGACATGAAGAGATCCCCTGCACGAAAAGGCTGGGATGCCTTTAGTGTTTGTCTAGAGCTGGTCTCACATTGCTACGAAGGCTTTTTTTGTGGATGTCTGAGAGGTAAACCAGAACACTTACAAGTCTAGAGGCCCTGGGTTTTAAGTGGAGTTGCAAGGGACCGAACAGAGGATTAAGTCGGCCTTAAGGCGTTTGATTTCCACCCTAAACCCTAAACCCTAAACCCTAAACCCTTAACCCTTAACCCTTAAACCCTAAACGCTAAACCCTAAACCCTAAACCCTAAACCCGCACTGCGTCGGCAGGATATCCAGCGCCACAAGCAGGACGTGGTCTTGGCCCCAGGTTTCCTTGTACCAACGAGCGAGCTGAAAAAGCAAAGGCACCTTGAGAAGCCCCATACAGCGCGGCCACATTTGGGGTGTTGCAACCCTAAGCGTCCATGTACCTTGTTAGTATATGCTTGGCCCCAGCCCCCCCCCCCCCCCCAAAGTGCTTATACAGGAAGTCATAGTTAGGGTTTAGGGGTAAGGGTTTAGGGTTTAGGGTTCAGGGTTCAGGGTTCAGGGTTTAGGGTTACATGGACACTTAGAGTAAGGTGGGTCGAGGGGGTCAGGTGGGAGGGCCATGTAGTGTTCAGGGTTTAGGGTTTGGGATTTAGGGTTTGGGGTTTGGGGTTTAGGGTACGGGCTTTCATCGTCAGATGATGTTGTTTTCGTTTTTTCAGTAGGAAAACTCCAAGAGGCCCCCAAAACTCCAAGAGGCCCCAAACTTTTGGAGCTTTGCACTCCTAAACCCTAAACCCTAACCCCAAACTCCCTAGGCTGCCCTAAACCCTAAACCCTAAACACCCTAAACCCTAAACCCTCAATTGCCCTAAACCCTGCACCCCAAACTCCCCAGGATGCCATCTACGAAGAATTGGACCAAAAGGTCTACGAAAAGAACTTCGCTTCCCTCGAGGCAGGGGGGGGGGGTTCGGGTTTAGGGTTTGCGGTTTGGAGTTTAGGGTTTAGGGTTTAGGGTTTAGGGTTTAGGGTTTAGGGTTTAGGGGCGGGGGGGGTGCGCTTTGGGGGCTCGGGCTTTGGTTTTTTTTTGCTTGTGGCTCTAGGCTTTGGGGTGTACATACGGTTTGCTAAGTATGCCCATATACCCCAACCCTAAGCCGTAAACCCGAAGCCCTAAACCCCAAACCCTAAACCCTAAACCCTAAACCTCTCTTTCATATATAATTTAAATGTTAAGGAGTTACTGGGCAAGGTCATTTTTTTACTGGGCAAGGTCATTTTTTTACTGGGCAAAGTCATTTTTTTACTGGACAAGGTCGTTTCGTCCAAAAAAACGACCTTGCCCAGTAAAAAAATGGCCTTGCCCAGTAAAAAAATGACCTTGCCCAGTAAAAATGTTACTGGGCAAGGTCATCTTTTTACTGGGCAAGGTCTTTTTTTACTGGGCAAGATCTTTTTTTACTGGGCAAGGTCATTACTGGGCAAGGTCATTTTTTCATTGGGCAAGGTCTTTTTTTTGCTGGGCAAGGTCATTTTGTTACTGGGCAAGGTCATTTTTTTACTGGGCAAGTTCATTTTTTTTACTGGGCAAGGTCCTTTTTTTACTGGGCAAAGTCATTTTTTTTACTGGGCAAGGTCATTTTTTTACCGGGCAAGGTCATTTTTTTACTGGGCAAGGTCATTTTTTTACTGGGCAAGGTCATTTTTTTATTGGGCAAGGTCATGTTTTTACTGGGCAAGGCCATTTTTTTACTGGGCAAGGTCGTTCCATAAGTGAAATACTTTCTTAATGTTGTGGGATTCTTTGGGCGGGTGGGTATTTTTCTGGAGTAATTTCTTGACTCGTGAATGCTTGAACTTGAGATGCTGACCCCTAAGCCCTAAACCCAAAACCCTAAACCCTAACCCCTAAACCCTAAACCCTAACCCCTAAACCCTAAACCCCAACCCCCTGAACCGCTACTTCGCCTCCACACGTGTGTCGCTTTACCTCAGGCCCAGCGGGCTTGCCATCAAAGGCCCCTACTGCCTGGCCAGAACCCTAAACCCTAAACCCTAAATCCTAAACCCTAAACCCTAAACCCTAAACCCTAAACCCTAAACGTCGATTCGTTCGATGTCATGTCTTAAGTCTCTCTGCGGACTGGTCTCCTGATCGAAAACAGAGCGACTGTGAAAAGTGGCACCATGACGTTGGCGATCACGTTTACTTCGCCCCCAAACCCCAGACCCTGGAGGGTGTACTTGAAATCCAAGGCACCCAGAGCCCGAGGTTGATCACGAGCCTTTTGAACTGGTACCCGAAACCCTAAGCCGCAAACAGGGCGTAGGGTTTAGATCCAAAGCTGCCGTTTACGAAAATGATAAGTATAGCTGCACCTTAAACCCTAAACCCTAAATCCCATCTGAAAGCTGCTCAGGACAACGTCACAAAGCTGACGCGAGGCACCGTCAAGCTGTGCCAGGCCGGGTTCCATTCTTTCCAGGTTTAGAGTTTAGGGTTTAGGGTTATTTAGGGTTTAGGGTTTAGGGTTTATGGTTTAAGGTTTAGGGTTTAGGGTTTAGGGCGCTAAATCTGTTAAAAACCCTCCGCGCGCGACCCAACATTGGCCCAACATCCCAGTGCAAGGTTTGCGTAGGGTCTGGAATGCGACTCCCCGAAGACAAGCTGGGCAAATGAGCACACAAGGTCGTTTTGCATGCGAAGCTGTCGAGGGTTTCAGGTTTTTCGGGGGTTAACCTTGAACCCTAAACCCCAGACCCTCAATCCTAAGCCCTAAACCCTATATACACCTGAGACCCTAAACCCTTAACCTTAAAGCCCAATCGACGAGCTCCAGGTCGTGGGCGTTTTCCCGGGCGCTCGCATGAACGATGGCACCGAGGTACTCAGCTGGGGGCTTTTTTGGGTTTAGGGTTTAGGGCTTATAGGGTTTATAGGGTTTATAGGGTTTATAGGGTTTATAGGGTTTATAGGGTTTATAGGGTTTATAGGGTTTATAGGGTTTATAGGGTTTATAGGGTTTATAGGGTTTATAGTGTTTATAGGGTTTATAGGGTTTATAGGGTTTATAGGGGTCTGGGGTCCAGGGGTCTGGGGGTTTAGGGGTTTTGGGGTTTAGGGGTTTTGGGGTTCAGGGGTTAGGGGTTTAGGGGTTTAGGGGTGTCGGGCTAGGGCCTCGTTTAGGGTTTATAGGTTTTTGCTTCAATGTTTAAAGTTTGGAGGTTGTAGGGTTGATCTAAGTCATAGGCTGCCTTTGGGATCGCTATGAACACATTGGGTACCAGGAAGGGTTTATGTCACAGAGGTGCCCCAAACCTCCCCCGCCCCCCAAATAGGGTACCCCTCACCCCCTTCCGCCCTAAACACTAAACCCTAAACACCCTAAACCCGAAACCCTAAACCCTAAACCCTAAACCCTAACTCCAAGGTTGAAGCTAAGGTCTATGCTGAATGACTGTTAGGCTGGTGGGAACATGGTACGCGAGAGTGACTTTCGAGGTAGACAAGAGTACCTGCATAGGGTTTAGGGTTTAGGGTTTAGGGTAACCTACTCGTCCCCTGCCCCCACTGCTGCTTTGGACACTGACTGGGCCGTTTCCCTAAACCCTATAAACCCCAAAACCTCAACCGCGAAGCCCAAAGCCCAAAGCCCAAAGCCCAAACCCCAAAGCCCAAGCCCCTGCCTTTGACATCGAAGGAGGAGCTGGATGTGGACGTCGATCTCTTAAATTGGGAGGACGGTTGCTGGGGTCCACGGCCCCCTAATCCCATCCCCTACTCCCCCCCTAAACCCTAAAGAGACTCGTTAGGAAAAAGCCATGAAAGAGTAGGGGGCCTTACACAGGGTCAATGCGTCCTCACACAACCCAGAGCACAGGTTCCCGAACCGGAAAGCATCAGAATCAATACCCATGTAGGGTTTAGGGTTACTAGGGTTTCGGTTTACGGTTTAGGGTTGCCAGGATTGCGCACAAAACTTGGTCAGCCGGGTCGACAAGACCTGGAGGCAGCTTTCTTCCCAGCGCCGTGCTCAGTGACTGAGATGTGTACAGGAACCCAAAACTGGAGTTCTGTCAAAACCCCCAAAGACGACAGGATCTCTCAATACAAGAATCTTTCTTATAATTAGGATCTCTCAATACAAGAATCTTTCTTATAATTTATGTCATAGGACGGTTCCTAATTTGAGTTAAACGGAGGGTCCCTTATGAAGGGAGTATTGAAACATTTGGGTTGCCTGCCGACCCGACAACGGGTGGTCCTCGAGACGTGGCTGGGCCCTGGTTGTAATACTACGGTTTAGGGTTT